TTATTATTATTTTATTTTTTAATTTTAATTTTTTTATATATATATTATTTTTTTTTATTTTATAATAAATTTTTTTTAAAAAAAAAATTGTAATAGCATTGCAATGCCCAAATAGTTACACAAATTAATATTATTTTAATTTATCTAATTAAAAAATTCTAATCTAATTAAGTATCGATTATCTTGATTATATAATTTGATAGTACAAACAGATTTGTCATTTTTTTTGATCATTTTCATTTTGGTATATTTTTTCGTTAAATTTGAATATTGACAATGAAATCAAATGTTAAAAATACCTAATACTTTATGAATAAATATATTAGATTATAGCCTTGTATTATCTGAATTCTGTTAATTAACATTTCCTAATTATGTTTTACATTCTAATGATGAAAAGTAGTAAGGCAAAAATAGGGTTTCTAAGACAGATTCCAAAAGATATTCAAAAAGGATTTCTGATCGCTCGCAAACCAATTTTAACTATATGAATCAATTATCAAATTCAAACTTCTAGCTCATTTTGACTCAATTCTAGATGATGTTATCGAACTTGACTAGGAATTAGCCTGTCTGATACCAAGAATTTCAATGTTTGATTTAACCATTCTAGCCTGATTTTAATTCCAAATAATATTTCAAAAAATTTTACTATTCTATTTGCCTCAGAAGGGGCCATTGAAAATCAAGGAATAAAGTGACGTGATTTGAGCTGGACCTGACATTGCAAACCCAAATTTAATAATAACTTTTATGCTATTCTGCTTGCCTCTAGAGGGGGCCATCAAAAATCAAGAAACAAAGTGACGTGATTTGAGCTGGATCTGATTATGCAAGCCTAAAATGCATATAATATGCTAAGTCTAACCTCGAAAAGGTTAAATTTAGTTGTTATCTAGTTTGCAAATCAAAAGCTTAATGATCATATTCTAGCACTTTATCAATTTATCAATATACAGGAAACCATTCTAAAGCCATTTCCTTTACATAAACCTGAGACAAAAAAGTCTAATCTTTCGTATACCTATATGTAAAATCTAACCGCAAAAAAAGTCTAACCTCTCAACTAACTATATAATAAATCTATCTTTTACTAAAAGTCTAACCTCTTGAACACATATCAAACATCAGGGCCTTATCCTGAAGTCTATTAACATATTGAATTATATAATAACCCCTAATATAAAGATGATAATGACCACAAGATGACCCAGTAAGCTTACCACATCCTGATTCTATGCAAGGCTGGCACTTTTTAGCCCTATTTCTCATAATTTTAAAAAAAGTAATTGAATATTATATAACATGATTAATTAATTTAAATTGAACAAAAGTTTACACATATATTAGAGGTTAGAGGTTAGACTTAATATTATAGTATCATGGTTAGAAAAGATAAAAAAAATTGTAAATGTATTTGTTGTAGTAAGACTTTTACCACACCTCAAAAACTTCATCAGCATTACAAAAGTAATAAAAATCAATGTAAATTAACTCCTGATGATATACCAAAGCAAGCTTCAGCTCTTGAGACTTCTAATCAAAAGGAGAGTCTTAGCATAATTAAGTGACAAGACGCTCAGGAGAAGTCAAAAGTGATTAACCAAACTCCTGATTCTAAAGCTGGACCCAGTCCATCAACCCAAGCTCATAGGGATGGACAGGTGAAAATCCCACCTCATATAAATAGAAATCAGCCTTTGTTTATAAGGAATAATAGTAAGTATTTTATTACTGACGAAGATGCTCAAAAAATGGGACCAAGAGCAACATAACCCTGAAGAAACTAGACTTCCAACATTAATGGAATTGGAGAAAAAAGATAGGTTAGCTAATGAAAAGGTGATAGAAAACCTTTTACCAGAAAAAAAGGCAAGAATACGAAGTAGAAAAAAAATATGCTAGGGGAAAGCATTTTCGGTCAATTTATGAAGAAAAAGATAGGACTTATTCTACAGGAGCATATTCCACAAAAATTGTACAAGAAGAACCACCTGATGGTGATATAATATTCTTGGAAAGAGAGCGTGATCCTGCCAGACAACACAGCTCTCTAAAATGTATGACTGTATGGGAGGGAGTTATTCCATCATGCAAAAATCCTGCCTATGCATTCAATAAAGAGCAAGATAATGAAATAGAATATGCAGATGCTCCCTATATGCCCCAACTTATTGCAGAAGCACGAGGAGCAATCACAGATGTTCTTAAAGAAGAACTTCACAAAAGGGATCAAATAAAATCGGCATTGGTCATAAATGCTACATATGTATCATATACTTATAAAGGAACAGGTGATATTTCAGATCAGGTAAACTATACTGCCAAATATCATCATCCATATCATAGAAGCAACCAATGCCTATAAGACAAGCCAGTTATCCCATCTGATAATATCTACATTTAGTATTTATAGGGGAGAGAGCCTTCTTCTCAGACTTGATCAGAGATATTACATGATCTTTTAAACGGAAACCTATATTCTTAGCATAGAATACTTCCTTACAAAAGAGACAGTCCCGATATACTAATATCATAGGATCTGTCTCAGTTCACATGGTAAAGTCTCTAGCCTCTTGCTTTGACAGTGATGACCTATCTACAGGATCATTTAGCAAGGAGCCTTCTATGATTGACATGTATGAATCTGTAGCCATCTCATCCATGCCCTTTTTGCAATCACCTTTATGCTTAGACTTCATAGTTTTATCTGCTAAAACATAGTGGTAAGACTTAGTTCAGATGTGAAATGATTCTGTGATTACATTGCTTGAGGTCTCATCTTTAAACTTGCCAATAGTTACATCCCCATTAAGGGCAAAAATGTCTAGTCGCTCTGCCATATCTTTATAGATATCTTCGGTCTTAACTATAAATATAAAGGAATCAGTATTCATATATCCAAGTCTAGCCTTATCCCCATATTTCTTTTTTCATATAATCATACCAGAAGCGATATATTAAAAGTTTACTAAGACCTAGAACTGATGCTCTAACAATGATTGGTTTATTGAGAACTACGCTAGCTTTTCCCATATGTGCACCTACTAACGTATCTCCAAGTGGTCTGCCATACTTGAAATTTGAGCTTTTGATTTTCTTGAGAAACTTCTTCTCATCTGACTCATTATTATAGGCCATGATCTTAACATCCTAGTACTTTCTAACATTTTCCATAGTCTTACCATATACCGAATTATTCATGAGCTTGAAGAAGTCTATTTCAAATGCATTCTTAGCTTTTTAGCGTAATTTAGTATTTTTTGCAATATATGGAGCCAACCAGTTTGTCTGATTAAATGATAAGATCTCATCTATAATCATACCCAACTTTATATAATACTGGAGCACTTGATAATGAATAACATAATTTTTTCATAGATCAAGATGGGGGACTAATTTTTCTGTTGTATAGAATCGTCTACTATCCATATCATTCACAAGATTAGCATTATATGGGCATAGTATATCCTTTTTTGCTGCGACATTTTCCACAGCTAGAGGTAAGTCACTCAAATATTTGTGAGTCTTTAGGGAAAATGGGAATTAATCATTAGAAAGAATCCACGTGATGCATCTACTCCAGTCTTGAGAATCATTTCAAGATATTTTTTTTGCATTTTGGGATTATTCTTTAGATATTCTCGACTAGCAACCCACTTATAATTTCCAATTGGAAGAAATTGGCTCATGGTCCAGCCATAAAGATTATTCACATTGACATATGAGATCCATGTTGTTAGTTGAGATATATCAAATGTGTCTCCTATATTAGGATTATTTGCTTTGAAAAGTCTATGTACTGCCATAACAATACCACCACGCTTCACCTTTTCAATAAAGTCATGCATTGCCATTTCTGTAAATAACTTGATCTTAACCTTGGTCATCTTAAGCATAGCATCCTAGGATAGAGAAGGTGCAGATACATAATGACTGGGATCAAGGCCATAATGATGCATTGATGTCTTTCTAAATATTGTCCAGACATCTGCTAGACTAAGCACGTCTATTTTGAGATAGAGATCATTATATTCTCCTAAGTTCTTACACCCAAATTCCTTTTATACATTTTGGGCATAATTATAATCCTCTTGTGAAATCTTACCTCCAAGAACACTATGAAACTACTGAATCAGAGGTAATTCTGTTTCCTTAAATCGGTTATGAGAGTCTATGTATTCATGAGGAAAGATTCCTTTGCGATATGCTAGGGAGATCTGTTCAGGGGAATAGCCTTGCTTCTTGAAATACTCAGTTGTAATTGGGTAGTCATCACCCAAATTCTTTGTAAGAGTGGCTAAGCTAGAATTCATAAATTGCATACTATCAATATACTTAAGCTGACCTACCTTCATAGATTTGTAACGTTC